AAGCGTTCGTTTTTTCATTATACGAGAAGTGACACAGTATTAACTTATAGTAGCCTGTGTTAAAGTAAGGGTGAATACTGTAATCCATAGAGCAACTGCTATAGAAAGGATGTAACTACAGATCCTACAGATGTTAAAAGATAATGAAGAAATATTATAAACAACATTATGGAAAGAAATTCATCAATACAAAAGAAATGAATAAATATCTGTACATATTACTGCATATAAATTATAGCTCACTAAAAAATATATATATAGAAAAGGATCTTTGGTTCAGCATGCAGCTCAGTATCATTAATCATGTTGGCCTATCCTTACGTAAAAGTCCCAAAGAGGCTATCATTTATATACATTATAAACAAATGATTAGAGTTGGCTGTGAAACATCAAGACTGCAAAAGTAGCAATGAAAGGTCTTTAATTAATCTATGATCTTTTGTTCTGTTCACTCCATGTTTTTGGTAGTCAGCATCTGGAGCCATAAGGCCATCTGGAAATGTTGTAAATGCAGCATTAGCAGTAGTAAGTAGTGATGTGTGTTTACAATATAAATTGAGGATCCAAAGCCAACAACTGCCGGACATTTGAGAAAAGTCCAATTCCACAGAACTGGAAGGTCTTTTACTCAGAGGCAAGAAGTTGACAATGTAGAGCTGATGTTGGGTTATTCTGGGGTGGTGGTGGAGATTGTTTTATGGACTGAAAATGTGGTAGACATTGCATAACCCCAAGGAGGATTTTGCAGTAGGAACATCACTAGGATACTTAGGAGAAAAGCTTGTTGAATGTAGTGCTTCTTGACATGCTTATGTGTGTCCATCCTTTAACGTTTCCATCAGCAAATCTTATCAAAATGTCACATCACAACCAGAATCCCAGAAAGTAATCTTCATGAAGTATGGGAAAACTCCCCGGGCCACAGAAAGTCCAGCAGACGTCGTGACCAATTCTCCCACCCCCTACCCCTACAAACCAGTGCAGTGCTGGGGGCACGGTGCATGCTCAGTAAATCGTTGTGGAAAATGAATGAATGGATGCATGCATGCATCCAAGCTGGAATCATTCATTCAACAGCAAATTATCTACTCTATGCTCATCATTAAGTCTTGGAGGGATTGTACAAGAAACACAGGACATGTGAACTGGAAACCCTTCACTTCTACGTAGGAACACTGGCAGACATGTGAAACCACCAAGGAAAATAGGAGACTCTTTACTAGCAGCCTCTCCATAGGATTCCCTGCCTCTCTCATTTCCCAGGAAGATAACATTTCATTTGGTAATAACCAAGTCCTCAGAGAGGTTCTTATCACCCCCTTTAAAAGATCTTTCTCCCTGTTTTCGTCCATTCCTCAGAGAGCATTAAAAAAAAAAAAAATAGGCCCTTATTAATAGTTCTATTGTCCCAGAATTAAAACAGACCCACCATTCCCATGAACCGTGTGTTCTGTTTGCTTAGATGTTGTGGGTGCTTAGAGAAGGGACAAGGAGTAGGGAGGTGGGGCCGTAAGTCATTTGATCTTTTGACCAAGAAGAGTGGTATATGGGGAGGTTGTGGTCACGGCTCGGGACTGGGGAGTTCCTATCTTGCCAGACATAAAGCATCAGGGAGAAAGACATTTTCCAAAACAGCCTTTGCTTGTTCTGGTACCAAAAAAATAGAAAGCCCAAGAAAACACTTATAAAGAAAAGGAAATAGGCTTAGAGAAAACACCCCAGTTCCCAGACTTTATTTGGCAGAGAAAAAAATACAGTGAAGCCAAGGAACCTTTTCCACACCCCCAATATGCCTTTTTTTAACCCTCTTTTTTTAAGCTTCGGTCTTAACACAAAATTCCAATTTTAGTGTTGCCGAAATGTCCTGAACTTCGCAAAGATAACGCCACATTTTCTTTTCTTTTTCACATTTACTTTTAATGCCCAGTCTCTTCTCACCTAATTGTCAGAAATTAGCCCCCTCCTCTTTAGTGCCCCCAGCTCTTCTGAAGTGTTCCATGTGCCACCTCTGTGTGCTCAGGAGCAAACCCCCACTCCCCGAGCCCAACCTCGGCCCCATACCCCAGCCTCACCCTCTTGCCAGCTCGCCACTGTCCTTCCCTCTTCAAGCTGCTGGCCAACAGGGCAGTGCTGCCCCCTGATAATGTCATCTTTATCCCTCCTTCTAATGCACAGATGTATACCCTTTCTTATCACCAAACGACAGAGTTAAAATTAAACTATGCCTTTTGATAGGAGTTATTGAAATACTGGGGGCAATATAAAGGGGTACAACACAGAGAATGGTTTCTAGCCACCACATGGGCACAGATCTAGGCTCAATTATCAAGTCAGCGTCTGCCTGGCCTCCCTCCACATGTCCACGTGAAGCTCATCCCTGCCCCCAAGACTGACTTCTTCCTAGGATGATTAACTTCTTCAGTAAATATTTATTGAATGTTTGTTCTGTTCCAAGCACTGTAGTAAGCACAGAAGATATAGTGGGGACAAAAACAGACAAGGCCCAGCCCTCATGGAGTTTAGAGTCTCGAACTGGTGAAGGAGATAGCTAAACAAATTAATACATAACCAAATGTTATTAGTTACAAAATTGTTGGGTGCCATGAGAAATCCTAATTGAGGGAGTTAGTCTAAATAGAGGAAGTCAAGTAAGGCTACTTTGAGCAATGGACATTTAGGTTGGGACTGAAGTCTGGGTAAGAATTAGCCCAGTGAAGGGCTGGGCAATGGTAGCCCCAGTCCACAGGCAGCAATGATTGCAGGTGTGAAAGGCCTGTTGGAGAAAGTTGCTTGGGAAGACCAGGGAGCTCAAGCGAGGAGAGTGGGGGCAGAGTGGTACAGATGAGGCCGAACAGGGAGGCAGAGGAACCATCCCATGTAGGCACTGGAAGGCTTGGCACGTTTTTCAGATTTGTACCAAGTGTAACCCAACTGCTATTGAAGGGTTTGGAGCAGGGGAGTGAATGATTCGGCATGTTTTAACCTATATTTTAAGAACATTGTAACAGCCATGTGGAGAATGAATGGAAGAAGGGCAAGAGGACAGTCAAAAGAGAGCGAGTGACTGTCTTAGTGATCTAAGCAAGAGAAGATGGTGGCTCAGACCATGGCACTGGCAGAAGAGATAGAGAAGTCGTCAGTTTTACGAACGTCTAGAATAGAACTGACGGACTCGATGACAGATTATGGAGGGGGAGCAGAAGGAGAGAGGAAAGTGAAGGCAGAGGGGCCAGGAAGGCTTCTGGTTTCTGACTTGGGCAGCTGGGCACGTGGTCTGATATCTAGGCCCTGGAAAGAAAAGCAGACAATAGTCAGAACGTTTCCCAAAGTCTGAGTTACTTGGTCTTAAATATTCCACTTGAGAAGCATCAGCAACCCAAGCCAGGGACAAGCTCAGGCGAACCCCTGTTTGGTTTGTCTTTTAAAACTTCCAACATCTTGGCAATCCAGCCTCGTCACTGCATCAGTTTTAACAGAAAGTTAATTTTGCACTAGACTTCTTCCCCAAGCAATTGCCGGGATAAGATAATAATGAATTTTGTTCATTCATTCAAGGAGAAACTGTTTAACATAGTGATGGAGAACAGGGCCTCTGGGTTTCAAATTCAACCTCTGCCACTTGGTAGTCGAGGGACTTTGGGCAAGTTCCTTAGCCACTCTGTGACTCAGTTTCCTTATCTGTGAAACAGACATAACAGTATATCTACCTCAAAGAGCTTTCTTAAGATATAAGCGAATTAATTGTAGGTGGTGTATTTCTAACAGGGGTTGGCACATAGTGACTACTCAGTCAGTGTTAGAAATTACCATTGCTCCTCATTAATCAAGTGTTACTGAAACCTCCCACTTCTCTAGCACTGATCTAAAGGAGAATGCTGGGCAGAGTAGAGAGCCATTTTTGAGTCAGACTGATTTGATTTCAAGTCTGCTCTCCTGCTTAATGTCTTTGAACCACATTTTCTCACCTGTTGTAGGAGAGCCATAATGCCCACCTTGAGCAGTTATTGAGAACATAAACTCAGAAATCCTTGATCAGGGCCTTGTACATAGCGGAAGCTCAGTAAATGGGAGGTTCTTTCCTTACTCAAAAGGAGCTTGCCTTCCTAATTTACATAGTGCGACTCCGCCTCTGTCACTAAAGAGGCCCCGGTGAGAGATAATTACAAACCCTTTTGTAGGCTTACAGATTAGGAATAAGGTTCATGTTTCTTCAGAAATTAACTTTTTTTGCCCTTTGGGCATGGTATGGAGCTATTTAAAAGACAGAAATGTGGATGTGGACATCTTACGTCCCAGAGAGAATGGTCGACAAAGATTCTCTTCAGTCCACAGACCATCCACATTTCCCATCACCAGTTGGACCCTTTCCCAGTGCCATAACCCACTTCCTCTTCCTGCCCCCCCCCACTACCCTGAGCAACCAGAGTAAGAAAACATGGACACCAGCCCACAGAAAACACTCTCGGTTGTCCTGGAAAGGGTAGATTGCCTGAGCTTTTATTTTCAAAGCTGACTACACAGTTTCCTTTGACACATCCGTGCAGGCAGCAGAGTTTGCTCCCAGCACCTGCCGTCCCACCGTCGCTCCTTGTGGTGGCCTTGCCCTGGGTTCTTGGTACTCGCCTCTTTCTGGCTCACGTGAGCTGTTTGCATCTTGATACAAAGTTGCCTGAGTTGTCATGTCATCCCCTCCGGAGCAGTTGCATTTTAGGACTCATTTCCAATGTAGAATGAAAACTTTGTCCTGTTAAGGGGCAGAAAGCTCTTGTGAGCAGGTGGATATTCCTGCAAAAGGATTCCTTCATCTGAGAGTTCACTCATCCTCCCTTATGGGCTAACCCTGAATGGATAATGTGCTACCAAGACTTTCCCTCTAATAGGCTTTTGGGGGACGTGGGGGTACTATCGCAGGATCCACAAAAAAAGAGTAATGCATATCTCTCTCCACAGCAAAGTGCAAAATGCTCTAATAAGACTAACAGGGTGTCTTTGGATTTCAGGGAACAGATCCGTCAAGGCCTAGAAGAACTCCAGAAGGTCCTGCCAGGAGGAGACACTTACATGCATGAAGGATTTGAAAGGGTAATTTTAAAATGGTTTTCAACTCTAAATATAAAGTGTGTTAGGGAAACATCAACATAAGGATGGCCGATGAGATAAGACACATGTAACTGAACAACCTCCAAGAGCAAGGAAGTAAAAACAATTTTTCCCACAAGCTTGCACACTGATAACTCTAGCCCAGAGAAGTGAATTTCCTCGCTCCCTCCCTGACACCAACAAAGGGCTTGTTAGCTAATGCTTGGCTGACACTCATGAATCATGCCACACGCAAGTCCCCAACATTTCCAAGGTAAACTTTTCTATATGGTGCGTGAGTGGTTGAGACAGAACGTCAGTGACTTCAGTCATAAGGAAAACAAGTCCCAGTCTGTGAGAAGAAAGACATGGATCCATGTTCACAAGAACATTAGTTAAATGTCAAGGTAACTTTAGATGAACGCCAACCATTCGTATTTGAGCAAAGCCCGGGTGGGTTACGTAAAGAATCAAGACTGAGCTGGCCCACATAGCCAGCCCCAGAACCCACTGCCCACTATGGTGTTTGGAATAGCACACAGTGGCTCTAGGTCTAATGTCTATTCCGTGTGTTTTTCAGGCCAGCGAGCAGATTTATTATGAAAACAGTCAAGGTAAGACTATAATATGAATTATCAAACTTTTTTTTTCTGTGTCGGCCTGAAAAAGGGCTTCAGTATCTTCACTTTACAAAAGATAAATGTGATGTCCATAATCCTCCACACCTCATCACAAAGAAGACAAGATGACATGTACCAGGTCAAATTCTACCGTCCTGTTGATGCCAAAAAAAAGTTACATAAAAGTAATGAGGAGCCCATTATGGGCCACAGTCTATAATGTCCGTGAACAGCTTTGCATCAGCATGCAGCAGCATTCATTAAATTAATAAGTACTTGGATAGGTTAGTAAAGTCTTGGATTTTTATGTCAAATTTAATCTTTTTTGTCCTTCCCCAAGCTCCAAGCCACTTCATTACTGTGATTGGGTATGATATTAAGGTGAAGATACCAGTGTGGTTTAAAGTTGGCTTCATTTAAATGAAAAAAAAAATGTATGCAATGTACTTAAAGTATAGAAAATATACTTCTTATTATGATTTTAGCTGTTGTTACTATTACTACAGTGTCTTTCATGGATAGCCTTTCTTTATCTGAGGCAAATCTTTTGAAAGAGATTCAGTATCACAGTGGGGATTTTTCTCCCAGGCTTGCAGAGGTGTCTGCTTCCTATTTCCCTCTAAACTGCGACAAATAGAACAGACCCAGTATCAACACTAAGGCTTGTTAATATGAACCAACCCTCAGCCATGTTAGAAGTCTAAAAATCACTGAAAGAATTCTAGTAGGTTTTCCCAGCTGGTATAATAACTTCCACTCAGCTTATAAATCACGACTATATTTCTCCTTGCCCGGTTCTTCAAGGGGTAAGCGGTATGGTCCACTGCGGCCTATAAGGACTCCTGAACAGCCCATGTGGTAGAGTGTCCCCCCAGGCCTTAACCTCAGTCACATGGACAGTTAATAGAAAATCAAAGAAGTTTAATTCACTGGAGCCACTCCCAGCTATCAGTCCAGTGACCATTCCAGCAGGCTTGGCCATTTCTGGAGAGAGGACAGAGAAACCCACAAGCAAAACTGCCCCCCCCCGCCCCGCCCCACAGTCAGTCCCCACAGATGCATTCTTCTTCGTGCTGGAGGTGCTTCTAGTCCCGAAAGAAAAGTTTCTGGTTCTCATAAGATTGACCTCGGGTAGTTGAGCTTATGAGACGTCAACTCCCAGGACTGAGAGGGGGTTTCCCTGAGTGCGGCAAGATGGATTGAGTGGGTCTGTGTTGTGTTGAGCAGGATACAGGACGGCCAGCGTCATCATTGCTTTGACCGATGGGGAACTCCACGAAGATCTCTTTTTCTATTCAGAGAGGGAGGTAAGCGATGGCCTGGCCTATATCTAACACAGACATGGAAACAGGGCTCCTTCCTCCTCAGAAACGGGCTGCACTCTTTCTACTCAGACAACAAGATAGGTGTTCTTCGTAAAACCCCTAGGGTAAAATAGTGCCTCATATGTAAAAAAAATAATAATAACAATTCATTTTTTTAAAGTGAACTCTCATGTCTTACACATGGTAGATGTTTTTCCCCCTTTCAAAATATTTGCCTGTTGCTCTGGGTTTTGAGGGATAAAAGTTGCTTACCATGACTTGATTGAAAGCACTATACTTATCTAGCAGTTTTGAAATAACTATATATCACTTTCAAACAAAAACGGTGCCGTTTTTCCTCCCATTTCTGCTAAAAACAGGGGGAGGGGAAAGAATCACTTGAAATATGTAAGAACCATCTGGTCAGAAGGTATTAATCATTGAGATTCTCACTCCGAGAATCAAAGTTGAATATTAATTGGTAGCAAAGTAAATTGCAATTGTTCCTACAGTATTTCTCCTTCCTTTTCTTTATGTTCTTGAAAAGTATTCCTTAAAGCAAGTAAGAGAATTCTCTCTAAACGAAGCTTCCAGTTTGTATAAAGAGTTTCAGAAAAAGAGGTTTATTTGGGAGTTGAATAATAATGTTTATATTTAGGAAATCCTTTCTTTTCCAGTCTGAGATTTGAGCCACATGTATAATTGGCCCAAGAAACCAGTTCACCATTACTGACAAAGTGACAAAGGCTCATTCGGGCCAAGTTAGAGAGAAACACAGTAAGGAAAAAGACAGGCAGTGAGGAAGGAAATGCTGGCTTCTGGGGGAGGAGTTAATCAGAGCCTGACACTTACTTCAAGCTCTTGACTATTATTTGATTTAAATTCAGTTCCCTTGGCAAACAATCATTCATTCGTTTGTTCATTCATTCATTCATTCATTCATTCATTCATTTAGTGTTAACTGAGTGCACCGCATGTGCTGGGCACTTTGCCTGATACTAGGGAAACAGGTGAAGAAGGTACGTTTGCTGCCCTGACGGTGCTTACCACGTAAGGATGTAATGCTGCTTTTTGAAGCCTCTGCTGGCTAAGGGCATGAGGAAATGATGTAGGTAAACACACTACTTCTCCCCTACCCATAACTAGTACAAAAGATCATTTGCACTGGGGAAGCACACAAGTAAATGTGACAGACCCTGCCTGAGCATTTGGAAAATAATATACTCCCATATTCTAAAGTTGAAACTAATGATACAATGGGAATGCAGAATGGCTTATTTTGGGTGCTACACAACAGTCAAATAAAGTAAAAACCCTAATAAGGAAATAACTGAATATGAAATAAATGATGGATGTCAGAGGCTTAAAATACGGGTTAGTAGAAAAGAATTTTAGGTATGGCGCATACAAACTTGGAAAAATATTTGGAGTGCCAGTGCCAAGAGAAGGAGGCTTTCTGAAAAAGAAAGATAAAGCTCAAGATAACATAAAGAAATGAATTTTTCCATTTTTGAGAATCCTATATAAAGCCCAATTAGAGGGAAAGAGTCAAAGAAGTTACTACAGATAAGGCTAGAGATAGACTGTGTCTAAAAGTTAGTTTTATCCTTAAAGCAGGAAAGCATATTTTTAAAATGAAGGAAAAAAAGATGTCTGTTTCTTCTAAAATTCAGTGTTTCAGAATGTTTCAATCACAAGTGGGTTTGAATACTAAAGCGAGGGGTGGAGGAGGAACACAATTCAAATCAATATGCATACACTGAACACCTACTATGTGTTTACTATCAATTATTTATTAAGCACCTACTGTATATTCCAATGATTTCCAAATTTTATTTTCTGTTCTGAAACACAGAAGAACCTGGAAATAAGATATCAGAGCCTTTAATAAATCAAATATTAAAATCAAGCCAAAACCTGGATGTTATTCATTATGTTGCCCTCTCTATACTTAATTATAGAGAAGGTCATGGGTTCCCTTACTCGAATATAGACCATAATTCCCACACCATTAAACCAGTGTACTCTGTGGGAATGAAAAGGGCCTTATTCACAAAGGGTGCTGACATTTATAAGCATCTGCGTTGCTCTAGGCCTTGTATGAGGAGCTCTGAATATGTTATCTCACTGAATCCCCAAACACTTTACAGAGCAGAGCCAAAACTAGGTATATCGGGTCCCAAAGGCTACATCCTTTCTATTATACCATGCTGCTATTACAAAGGAAGAGAAGTATGTCAATAAAAATTCCTCAAAGGAATGGACTAATCATTTCCCCAGAATATTTTTTTAAGATTTTATTTATTTACTTTTATTTTAGAGAGAGAGCAAGCAGGGGGAGGAGCTGGGGGGAGAGAGAGGGAGGGGAAAGAATCCCAAACTGACTCTGCACTGAGCATGGAGCCCAGTGCAGGGCTCGATCTCAGGACCCTGAGATCATGACCTGAGCCGAAATCAAGAACTAGATGCTGAACAGACTGAGCCACCCAGGCGCCCCCCCACAAGAATATTTAATAGGCTTATCCTAGCTTCCTGTTCCCTTTTCCTCCCCTCCTCTTTCAAATCCCTTCATAAGACTCTACTTCCAACGCTCTTTCTCAGCACGTCCCATGAGGCTAATCACTCCCCTCATGTCCCTCATACATTACGGTAGAATGTGCTGTTTACCAGAGGGTGAACTCCTTGAGGACAGGGATTGCCCTCTCCATTGTGGTACCTGGCACATAGTAGGTGCTCAATAAATACCTGATTGTGGAAGTTAGTCTGGTTAATCCAAAAGGAGTATATTTGCCACTTCTCTGTCTAATGGCTTTTCTCCATTGACCCAGGCTAACAGATCCCGAGATCTTGGTGCCATTGTTTACTGTGTCGGTGTGAAGGATTTCAATGAAACACAGGTATGGATTTCCTCAGGTCTGGGAGCTTGTGAATAGAGAACATGTGTATTCAGTGCAGCAGCACAAACACCCCTCAAATAGGTTCTTTTTCCATAAACGTTGAGCAAGCAAGAATTATTGGATGTGTAAGGGACGTGAAACCAAGCCAGTGCACTTGGGGGCCGTGAACGCAGACTATCCAGGCAGTGTCTTCTTTGGTTGACTTTCTTGGCAGATGTTAAATTGCCAAGGTGTCGAAACAGATCCGAATAACATTAGAAAACTTGTTGTTGTTGTTGTTTTTCATTTAGTTTAATGAATCTAATTTTGCTTAAATGTCAAACATCCCTCTTCTCCCATTAGAAATTCAGTGCATTTTCAATACAAAAAAATAAATACACAGTTGGTCCTTGAGCACTGCAGGGATAGGGATATCAGCTCCCCTACACAGTCAAAAATCCATTGACAGCTTTTGATTCCCCCAAAACTGAACTACTAACAGCCTACTGTTGACTGGAAATAACATAAACAGTTGATTAACACATATTTTGTATGTTATATGCATTATATACTCTATTCTTATAACGAAGTAAGCCAGACAAAAGAAAATGTTACTAAGAAAATCACAAGGAAGAGAAAAGACATTTACAGTATTTTACTGTATTTATTGAAAAACATCCGCGTGTAGGTAGACCTGCTCAGGTCAAACCCATGTTGTTCAAGGGTCAGTCATAATTGGCAAGTGGGCAAAAAGAATATACAAGTATAGATATGCAAATTGTGACATTTTGCTAACAACCTACCTAAGTGTTCCTCAATGTAGGTCATCATTTCTTTTTGTTTTAATGACATGGGACAATGCTTGTGATATGTTATTAAGTGAATAAAATAGGGTTACAAAACAGTGGGGATAGTCTGAGTCCACTTTTAAAATAAATGTGTATATTTGGGGAGGAAAAGTATGAAAGACTACATAGTATATCAAATTAATAATAGAAAAATGGTAGGTGGAAGATAGATAAATGAGTAACTTTTTTTCTTTTTAACACTCCTGGGTTTTCTGAAACTTCCCATTGGTTATGTGTTACTTTTGCAATCAGGGAAGGTCATGGCACTGACCATGACGGTGGCAGTCACAGAACTATAGATTTGGAGTAGAAAAGTCCACAGATCAGATTCTTCTTTTCCCTGTCCTCTGTTCCATGAAACAAGAGAGCCAAACCAATTGCAAGGGTCCTCTCCTCAATGAGTAATTTGGGCGAAATGGAAGGGGCTCCATTCATTGGCCTCGCCCAACACCAAAACTTAAATTTATTTTTAAAGTTGCTCTGAAAGGAAACCTGAGTCTGTTCGATTCAAATACAGTTGCCAACAGAAATCTGAGTGAATGGGAGAAAAATGAGCCAATGGCCTGCCCCCAAATCCATAAATAAATCCACCCAGGCCAAATGTTCATCTAGCTGAGCAATCTTACCTCTGCTCCCAAGGCGAAAAGTATCAAAACAAATGTAAAAGCTGGAGCTGACCTTCTAGGCCTGCTCCAGAAAGGCCACTGGTAAGCTCATTATTACTGAGGGCTTTTCGGTGAGGCCCAAGGCCTCAGGTTCCTCTGGGTTCTAAAAGTCGACGGAGCCCCCTGGACTCAGTTCTCTGCAGCCAAGCCTGACACATCTCCGTGTGCGTTTGTGTGTTTGCTGTGTTCTCAGCTGGCCCGGATTGCGGACAGCAAGGACCACGTGTTTCCCGTGAATGACGGCTTTCAGGCTCTGCAAGGCATCATCCACTCAGTGAGTAGAGCCCTTCCTCTAAAACTGGACCTTGGGCACTCTCTGCCCCCGATCCACTAAAAATTGCCCAGTCCCCTCCCTCGAAGGCTGGTGTTCTCTGCTTGAGACAACATTCCCCTGCCTATCTTTGTTATCTATCATGTCCCACTTCTCCCTCCTGCCTTCCACACACGTTTCTTTTTTCGTTCTCCTGTGCCAGTTGACCCTACAAAGTAAATTAAAAATTGAAGGGAATGGGCGCCTGGGTGGCTCAGTCGTTAAGCGTCTGCCTTCGGCTCAGGTCATGGTCCCAGGGTCCTGGGATCGAACCCCTCGTCGGGCTCCCTGCTCCACGGGAAGCCTGCTTCTCCCTCTCCCACTCCCCCTGCTTGTGTTCTCTCTCTCGCTGTGTCTCTCTCTGTCAAATAAATAAATAAAATCTTTTAAAAAAAATTGAAGGGAACTCTGGTCTGGCAACAAGCCAAACTTCAGATAGTTCCCGTTCTCACACTGGAGACATCGGTTGATGGTGTGCACCTGACCTCAGCTTTTCCAACCATGACTGAATGCAAGCTGCCTTCTAGAGCATTGGCAGGCTCAATCTGTATCTCTTGACCATCAGAGGTACTTTCGACCAGTGGTTCTTTACCTTGGCTGAGGTCATCTGGAGCAGGATTTTTAAGATCTTCCCAGGGGACTTTACTGGAACCACAACTGTAGACCTGTGGTCCCCAAATATGAGGGATTCACTCTTCTTCAGGGTTTTCAATCACTATCCCTTCTTTCCACCCCAACCTGGGTTGGATGGAACAATCCCCCACACACAAATGGGTTTTTTTAGCCCCCCATTTCCTGTCAGTGAACAGGATCGGCCTCTCTTTTCCACCCTCCATACATAGGCCAGGCCCTTGGTCCAGCTGGAACATTGGATGATGCTGGTCTTTATTTATTTATTTATTTATTTTATACTGATCTTTAAAGCCCCAGCCAGAAGGCCAGTGTATGGGCCACACTGTGATGAAGTCCAGAAGCACTGTCTCCTCTACCTTTAGGTTTTGTGATTGGGCAGATGGCCAGCAGTTTCTCCAGCAGAAGCTCACCAGGCTCCAGGGTCCAGGATGCAGATTCAGAGCTCAGAGGGTCACTATCCCCTTCAGATATCAAGGGGGTCTTAATCCAGGTGATACCAGCCAGACCCAGGATCTACCCAGCTCCCCCCGACTGACCTAGGAAAACTCCATTGTACTTTCATGCCCACTCTCACTCCCTCTAAGGTTCGCTAAGAACTCCTGTGGGGTGAAAAGAGCTTTGGAGCTGGTCATCCCAGAATTGAAATGCTGGCCCAGCGATTTACCATTTATAGATCCTTGGATGAGTTATCTCACATGTTTCCTTATTTGTAAAAGGGGATTGATAGTAAGACTTACATCACCTGCCTGTTTGAGGATTATAAGAGATAACACTGGTGAAATTACTTAATATTTTTCCAGGCACATAATAGGTACTCAAGACATATGAATTACCTCCTCTTTCACTTTCCTTCCTCATCATATAATGGACATTAGTGTCAGTTTCCCCCAATCCTCTAGATTTTCTTGAATATACTTAAAACCACCTGGGAACCTTGCTTAAAATACCAGTTCCCAAGTCCTATCCCCAGAGATTCTATTGCAGACAGTATGAGATGGTGCCCAGAAATCTCTGTCTTTTAAATCTGTTGGGTTTTTTTTTTAAATAAATGCCCCAGGGGCACTTTCAGAACATTGATATATGTAACCTTAAGTTTTCAGAATTGTGAAAAATAATCTCACCTCAGGTTAGGAACTCCTACCTTAAATATGTACAGATGATGGTCATCTTATTCAAGAGGTATTTGTTGATAAGGAACAGAAACCAACTCAAACTACTTTCACCAGAGAGTGGAAATTATTGAGAGATAGAGAATTATCAGTGCCAATATTAGATCCCCAGGTGAGGGACCCCTGCTCCAAATAATTTCTGGGATCAGTGTGGCAAACTTGACAACATAGGCAACAAGGACTGCAATAAACATATAAAACAATACCCAAATGGTGCAAAACGTGATTTGGGGCTGATCATGAAGCTTAGAGGTGGATTATTGTGGGCTGGAGCCTTCATGAGAAAGTGGGACAGACCTAAATCTATGAAAGACCTGGGAGGAATGATGGGTAGCACCAGGGAATAGATGACATGACCCCAGCCCAAAAGCTGGAAAAGGGAAAAGTATAATAATGCCTATCTGTCTTGGGGGAGAGTTTGGTAAAGGATCAGGAGTAATAAGAAACAAACCTAGACATTGGTTTGGAACCAGACTGATAAGAGCCTTGAAGGGGTTTTGATTCCAACTTCGTGGGTGTAATCACTGAAACATTTGGAACATCTAACAAGTGATATTTCAGAAGAGAATCTGATGGTGGTGTCTGTATATAGGGGAAAAAATGGGGGGGTCTAGAGGCAGGAGCCTACTGCAGCATGAGTGCACAGTCTTGCTTTCAGATAGCTGGATTCTGAACAGGGACAGCTCTTACCTGTTCAAAGGTTCTTAGGAGCCATGTGCCCACATCATTCAAGAGGCAGTTCCTACCCAAATAATCAGAATCATTTTATCTGCATAAATTGGTGTTGTACTTGACTGTTTCTACCTTAGCAACTCACCCAAGCTCGACGTGAGCCCCCTAGGTGTTTGGAAAACTCTTCCCACCCCCAAATGGAAATAACTCTAAAGATGTTTCAGGAATTTTAGCACAATGGTCTCCCAAAAACTGGGAAAAAAATAATAATTTGAGACTCCAGTCTCCAAACTTGAGCTGAATGATAACGTTCTTTTGAGCTTTTTATCTGGGAGTTAACGCTCATGGTTGAGATCCTTTCAACACTTGAAACCCATGTTTATGGCAGTTGTTAATTCATTTACTTGGACAGAGAAACAGGGACAAGCACGGCGGGGCTCATCTTTCTCAAGACAGACAGAAATAATTATGGCCTCAAGTTGGCTATTTTTAAGAAGTAGGTTCATTTCTCCTCCGGATACCGAAAAGAAAACTCTTGTTTTTTCCCCTGCCATCTGAAGCGTCTATTCCAACTTGTTCCCACGGATGTTGTTTTGTGGCTGGTGATTTTCTTATAATAAAACAGGACTGGTCTTAATTATCCCAAATAGGAGTACAAAGCAGCTCTCAACAATCTCAGATGGTTCATCAGCTTTTCAGCCCATCATGACCTTATATTTAAATCCCAAATCAAGATGCAGGAGCTAATATTTTTTTGCCCTTTTAGCCAGTACTCATTGAAAACCTTAAATAGTACACTCTTGCCACTCAGCTACAAGTAAAGCAATGGAGACCCTGGCCTGGTGGAGCTTACAATCTAGTGGGAGGGGCACATAAAAAATGTAAATAAATACATATGTATAGTTAAAATTGTGATAAGTGGTACAAAAGTAACAACCAGCCACCAAGATTAAGAGTAAAGGGATTGACACAGAGCCCAGGCCCCTTTGAAGACATGACCTGAAGAATGAAATCAAGCCATCCACTGGAAGGGCATGGATAGAACATTCTTGGCAGCACTCAGCCCTGTGATGGAGCATGGGAGAATGAAGGAAGAAGAAGTGGGAAATGGCAGAAGATGACGTGAGGAGGCAATCAAAGGCTAAACCATGCACAGCCTGGAGGGCCGTTTTACTCGAAGCTCAGTGGGACCTATAGCCAGATACAAAGCCTGACAATAGAACAATGATGCTTGAAATTCAGACTCTCAGGGAATCGAGAATCGTGGCCCTTGATCCATTTCTCCTCCAGATAACGAATAAATAAACCCTTGGGATCAATAGTAATGTCAGCCTGTGAAGAAGGAAACTCACAGTGACTTATGGAGCATCTTCCATCCGCCAGCACTTCTGCTAGGCACTGCCACCGTCACTCTCTCCAGAAGGTCTTATCCCAGTGTTACAGGTGAGGAAGCTGGGGTGTAGGCAGCTCAGAGAAACTGCCCAAGTCTTCCTGCTCATAATGGTCGAGTGGGGAATTTGAACCGAGGCCTGGTTCCAGAGATCCTGCTCTTTCCACAGTATGAGGCTGAGAACGTCTGAGGAAATGGAAGATCACCACTGGATTACCAGGAGTTGATTATCCAGGGCCTGGATTCAGCAAATCCCGGAATTCTCAGCTTCCACAAACTGGTTCTTGTGTTTTGGTCTCTTCACTGTTCCCCAGCCTTCCCTACTCTAAGGGAGAAGTACTTTTGTGTTAGATTTGTATAATGTTTATTTTTCATGGCATTCTCACCTGTTTCCCATTTTAGTCTCTCAGTGGCAGGACATAGGGAAAAGGCAGAAAGAAATTGACAGCTGTATAGGGCACATGGGTGGCTCAGTTGGTTAAGCGTCAGACTCTTCATTTTGGCTCAGGTCATGATCTCAGTGTTGTGAGATCAAGCCCTGCATCAGGCTCTGGCGCCCAGGACAGACTCTGCTTGAGATTCTCTTTCTCCCTCTCCCTTTGCCCCTCCCCCTGCTCACACATGCTCACTCTCATCTCTTAATTCATTAATTTTAAAAATCTTAAAAAAAAAAAAAGAAGAAATCAACGACTGTAGATCACAGCTGTATTTGGGACAAAACATTGTTCCTTTATCCCAGTGAATATGACCCTATTTTAGCATCATAACAACCCTGTGAAGAAAATGTTCTTATTCCTTTTTTACAGATGAAGACACAGAACCTCAGATAGCCTTCCTGAGAGCACATGGCTGTAAGGGGTGACTCCAGAGCCTGTGCTTTCTCCCCCAGCCTCTATTTCCCTAGGAAGGTAAAAATAATAAAAGCTACCATTCTGTGAGTCCTGAGGTTCTAGACACCGTGCCGATCATTTTACGTAGGCGTCTCATCAGATTCTCACGACCAGCCTTTAGTGTGGATATTGTCCTCCCTTCTACAGAAGTAGCTGCCGTAAGGACAGAGATCCACTAGCTTGTGCAAGGCCGCATGGCAGTGAGCGGTG